ACTGAAAGCTTTTTCATTATTTTTTAACCCCATAAGATTTTTTTCAAATTTAATCATTTCGAAAAATTAATAGATTGAATTCATTCGAAATTTAGGCGGTCTTCATAGGAAGTAATTCATCACTTTCTGCATTAAAAACTATTAAGACTAGAGTGAGGCTGTAAAGCCATCATCATAAGAGTGAAATCCTAATAAAAGCTTCCACAGAGTAATTGGTTTTCGTTTGATGTTTTTCATTGCTACACCACGAGTAATTAACAACTTATCAAATCGCCCGATCATATTTTTGATATGTTCGAGTGTATAACTGTAAGGGGAAACTTGGAATAGCCATTAAACGAAGGAACCCCATACAAATGAAGATGAAGAGAAAAAGTCAAAAGAGATGCAGAAAAAAAATGGCTCGATGGTGGCGGGTGTAGCGATATGCCGCAAGCAAAAACTCGTCTCCGTCGACGAAACATTTCCCAGAAACGCAGACTGCGAGGCCCCACTGAATTTTTCTTTTTATTTACTATATCCGTAGATCCTTATGTACCTCCGACTCGAACATCTAATGCAACAAAACGCCAATAATTTTTCTTTTTCATAAAAAAAAAGTCGCAATCAATTTTTTTCGAATTTGAAGGTAAACAAAAATCAATAAAAATTTCAGATTTGTGTCTTACATTTCAATAGAAATTCATCTAAAATCATTCTCGCTTGCAGCTTACGTAAAATGTTCCGTAATTTTTCTTGATTATTTTTTTCGTGCCAATTTCAACCAATCAAGTGGCATTTCACGTCACGTGGTACAAGTAAAACGGTTTTACTTCGGATATTTTTGGAATATTTTTCTGTTTGTTGCTAAGCAATGAAAATATTCGATAAAAAATTTGTACGCGTTTCAAACCCCAAAACTGTCTGGTTGGAAAAATTGAAAATTGAGATTCCCTAATAAAACAGTTTTACTTATACCATATGACATGAAAAGCCACACATTTAATTGTTTGAAATTGGAATGAAAAAAATAATCCAGCCAAATACCCCTCGACCTTCAAAATTAATCGAATATTTCCCTCCCGTTTCCGTGGGTAGCACCGATCGGGATAAGTTTCGCAGGAAATTTTTAACTTGCAAAGCTTATCCCTCTCGTTGATACGCAACGAAACTCTCGGGAAATATCCGATAATTTTCTTGGGAAAGGGCTCGGAAGGCTTCAATTATCTATGGATTTATTATGAAATATAATGCAATTGAATTGACAGGAAAATATTGAGAATAAAAGAAAATAAGTTTGATTAATACGAACTATTCTTTTTATTTAAAGTGGGGTAGTACCAATTAACACTGTTAAATGTTATTCTCGAATCAATGAATGATTATCTGAAATGATAAGCGTCTTATTGAAAATCATGTAATCATTATTAGATTGAATGTCAAATTGATAGTGTTAGAAAAAAATGTTTTTATTATCTAATAAATAATTCATAATTCATTTGGTATAAACAAACTGTCGCCAAGGCCCAACGAATTTCAATTTTAATCTCCTGTGATATTGTATATTATTATTAGGGATCTTATAGGATTTTTTACGTCTATCAATCGATACACGTAGAAAACACTATACTCAAAATACGCTATTTAGAACGTAAATTACTCGGTAAATTTTTATACGGTGAATTACCACCCATATCGTGAATTACAAGTCCAAACCGCGTGAATTAAGCGTTCCAATCACGCAAAATCAAGGATTGAGATCGTAAATGCAAGGACACATGTAAGAAAAACTTCCTGGGCAACATCAGATGTTCAAGTTTGAGGACAGTTTGGGTCATCTGGACATGGCTTTCAGAAATCAGGAAAATTACGTTCTAAATCTCGTCCTTTAAGATTGTTGTCGCGTAGAATTTTTTTTCGACAGTTTTCGTTAACAATTTTATGGTGAATAGTTTGAAAAATTAGCAACAAAATGAGCCTTTTCCGTTTGCAATTGACCGTTTTGAACTTGAGATATAAATTTTTGAAATTCGAGTGATTTAACACGTGTTTAAATGGAGTTTTGCCGATTAGAATTTTTTAAAAATCAACGGCTCGACAGTTTCAGAAATAAAAAAAAACGTGGAATATACATCGTGGGAGGAAATACAGAAAAAAAAAATCAAATCGATTGACCGTTTGGTTTACGGAATATAATTATCGGAAATTCATAAATTTATATAATTGAAAATAGTTAATATGGAAAATATATAGTTATGCTTTAGCTATCCATGTACAATGCAATCAATCAAGTGAGACTATGTACCGCTAAAAGATTGTGTTCTAAACTGGCCCATTTTACAGCAGATAAACTTTTTACAGAGACTGTCGCGCGACAATCACCTTAAGTGGAGCGTTTTCTGTGTGTAAATTGTTAAATACTTCATTTATTCTTTTATGCTTGTTTAAATGCCGAACAAAGTTAAAGATTAAGAATTTATTTACAAGCAACAAACACATTTCGACCTGATAGCCACAAAATAATATCTTTATGTAGTGAATACTCATTTAATTTAAAGCGAGTAGGTGAAGGTAAAGTTATTGGAAGGTAAATAATTTAGATTAATAAATGCGTCGACCAAATAAAACTACTAAATTCCTGAATAATATCAGCACTTAGATGTCCTGCAGATGTTGTCCTGGGAAGCTGGGACAATTACTAATTTTTGGCCCATCATAAATCTTCGAAATTATTATTAATTATTATTAGCATTGTGTCGACACCCGACTGCATTAACTGAGTTAATTCCGATGTACGGAACTTTCCCTGCCCTTTCCATTCTGAAGGTATACCATTTTGATAATTCATGTAAATTCCAGTTATTTTTCATCTAATTCAGTGCGACTCAATTTTTTCTTCATTCCACTTAATTATATTATTTCATATTAGTCGGTGAATTAATTAAGTGTTTCAGAAAAATCCTCACGAGAACTCACATATATTTATTTTGCATCATTCCAATTGAAATTTATCACATGAATTTATTTGTCGACAGTCAGACAAATTTACTTCCGAGAATGAATTGCAGGAACGGCACGGGGTTAAAGATATCTCGCGGTGGTAAAAAAATCACAAAAGGGAGGTGATTGCAATGCCCGGAGAATGTCTTCCCCAGAAATTGCCCTAGCATCCAAACTTCGCTAATTAAGGGCCATACATAATCCAATGGCCCCTCCTGTCCCTCTACTCCTCCCCTTCCTCTTCATTTTCTCAACCCCAAACACCGAATTTTCCATGTGTGCATCTCATTAGTGGTAAGAAACACATCGACTTCGCTTCCTGACGTATTTCTCCATGTCTTTTTGTATGCCGCAGCCACCTCAGGCGACAGTATTTGACTTTATGTTGTCCAAGCAAAAGCGTGGACGCGTGAAATGCGATTTACTGCGCGTGCCAAGGATTCCACAATATTCCCCTCAGTTCGAATTTAGTTGAGAAAAGAAAGATCGCTTCCTCTTCCATAAGTAATACTTCAATTGACAATAAAAATTAAACAACCCGCAACATTTGTCATCTGAAAACTGCTACATCTATCCCTCCATTTTGACTTTTGCTTTTTTTTCTAGCTTCACAAGGGAAGCTTTACAATCGTTCAATTTTAAATTTTCAATTTTTTGTATAAGAAATGTTTTGTATTTTTATGGCGTTCCGCATCTTGTGACGTCACAGAAAATTGTTCGATAGGATTTTGGATTAGATAGGAAGAAGGGAGCCATGATAATTCTTGATATGATCTCGCAAGAAAAATTTACTGAAAAAATGGATAATTCAGACCGGGATTTGAACCCGGGACCCTCCACGATTATGCATCGGATACTCTCCCAGCTGAGCTATTTTTTTCTTTTGAAAACCATGTTTATTTAGTCAGAAGAATAATACAGAATTACATTGTTGATGTAAAGAGCTACTATAAAATCATGAGAAAACGTAGTTTCAATGATAATAGAGTAGAATACACGGAGAGAAATATTTAGTAAAAATTACGGAACTTTCAGTTCACTTACCGATTACGGAGTTGATTCGAAAAATTGAAGTGACGGTATCGTTATTTTTCACCGATAATTCAGATAAAAATTATGGAACAGCGCGGAAAAATTGCGTGACTTTAGATAAAAATTACGTGACAGTTCCGTAAAATTTCCGACAACCACATTTCGCTCCAGAATTACGGAAAATACACGTAATTTTTATTGAATATTTCTCTCAGTGTACATACCCACTAAGGTCGCTTCGATACTTAGGGTTAATTAATATTTAGATTATGTTGGAGAGTAATGTTTGGGTTGAGATTGGGCCTGTGACTTGTTACGATAATTAAGAGGGCCTGAAATTGGCGATAGTATTGGTCGTTAGGCCCAACTGAGCTGTCCAGCTCCTAGCCACTTGTTCATTTCAGATTTCTTGTACATATCGAGCTTCGCCGTCCTTACGGCAATCATTTTTCATGGAAGCCTGAAAATTTACGTAGCGTTCCACATCTCATAACGTCACAGGAAATTGATTCATCTATAGCATCAATGATGCGAGCTAACCAATTACTAATTCTTGATTGACTCAATGTTTGACTAAATCCAAATAGAAAATGGATTCGATTAACGAAAGGACGATCCTCAGTACGATTTCCAGCTGCACCGGTTTTTCAATACTTCCGGTTGCTCAGTTTCATGATCGGGCGAGAATTTCGTAAAAGGGACAAGTGTACCTGGTCAAAGGTTTTCTTTTTGAAGTGATATTTTTACTTGACCCCCGTTGAATGCCATACATGGTAAAGGGCATGCATAAGTGAAGCCTACACCTCATTGGTCAATGATATAGACATGAAGTTCGGTAAGTTCTGCCCGCGAAATTTGAATAAAGTATCCTTTCAATTACTGAACTGGTTACCATGGGTTACTAATTTTTGTAATTACAGCCCGCTGTTTGTACTCAATCTCGTACAACAAAACATCGGGCGCTCTTAACGAATAATTTCCTTTTTCAGAAAACAACGCGAGCCTCAATTCCCAGCACCAATCGCCACATCACCCGCAGTCTCAGCAATCACAGCAAAATTCTCAGCAATACGGTGAAGTAAACCAACTCGGTGGTGTTTTTGTCAACGGCCGACCGCTCCCCAATGCCGTCAGACTCCGAATAGTCGAACTGGCCCAATTAGGCATCAGACCTTGTGACATATCCCGTCAACTTCGAGTTAGCCACGGCTGCGTTTCAAAGATTCTCGCCCGTTACCACGAGACCGGAAGTATCCTCCCTGGCGCCATAGGCGGGAGCAAACCCCGAGTGACGACCCCAAAGGTCGTCCAATACATAAAACAATTGAAATTGAAGGATCCTGGTATTTTTGCTTGGGAGATAAGAGACAGATTGCTGTCTGATGGAGTCTGTGATAAATACAACGTTCCCTCAGTATCGAGTATTTCGAGGATCCTGAGGAATAAAGTTGGAGCGGCGGCTGCTGCTGCTGCAGCCGCTGCTGCCATTCATCATCATCCCCATCACCACCATCACCATCACCACCTCTATGCAGCAGCGGCAGCAGCAGGAGCTGCTTTGTGTCCTGTCCCATATCCATCTGCACCTTATCATCCACCACCACCAGCAGTGACGCATCACCATCATCATCAAGGTGAGTAGTTTGACGTTTGAGTTGACGTATTGTCCAATAAAAGGACACGAGTCTTTGAAATTCTTAAATCACATCATGAAATGGAACCACTCGACCATTTTATAGCCTACAATCAGTAAATGACAGAATTACGACGATAGAACGTGAAGTACAGATACTAGGACCACCTCAGAAGAACTTTGCATTCGTTAGCAATTAGTTTCAATGACACCATTGCCTACCTAAGACTCGTGAAGTGCTAACGCACTGGTCGTTTCGCTTTTCATTCTCTTCTTCTTCTGTTTCTGTCTTTTTAGTCACGCATGCCACAGTGGCACCGACTGTGTCCGCATCTACCAATGGTATAAATACCTGGATGTATCTATATCTTGGTGTCTCGGTGGAAGAACAAAAGATACCGGGTGCCGTGCGTTCTTGCTCTATGGAGAAATGCAATAATTGTTAGTCTATGAAGTTAATTCGGGGATCCATGTACTCAGATTGTCTGAAGATGATAGAGTGGGCGAATGAAGAATGTAAAAGTGTCTTTTACGTCTTCCACTGATGAATCCATCGGCAAAGTATTTTAATTTGAGAAATGGGTGATTATCCAATTGGGATGAAATAGATTGAATTGATGTTATAGGGAAGGATATATCTACTTCAGAATCTGCTTCTATTCAAAGTCCAAGATATTATTCGATATATTTCTAAGCACTAAAACGTGGCGTTCTTTATGGAACAAAATAACATTGACAAAATCGTCGTTTCAAGAATTTTTACTATTTTCTTCCGAGTCCGAGTCTTTCGAATACGGAGAAAAATCTAATCGTAAAATATGTTTTTTTGAAACGTTACCAGTTTGAAACGAAAATAATAAATAATAATTAAAATCGACATTTATGATTCTGAAATGGTAATTTACCTTTGCAATTCGGTACATCAAGAGCGATAGTTCAATGAAAATGACATGAAAGCTCCAGAATCCGCGAGTAAGACGAATAGAAGGCTAAAAAATAGGGAATGCTTAGTGAAAAGTATGAAATAGGATATAAAAAGAAAGAATTTGGTTATTTCAACCAAATATTATCAACTTTCCAGTGAATTGCCAGTTCACAAGCATTATTGCTTGAATTTCCTACGTTTTCACGGCTTTTCACTGCCATGTGGACGTGAACCTTGAGAATTACCAAAATATTCAGAAAATAACGTGATTTATCAAAGAAAAATTCTGCAGAAATTCCACGTCACTTGGTGATAACTAAAATTTCAAGTTTTTTATATAGAAATTCCAAGTGTAATTTTCCAACAATGTAATGCGTAATTAATTACGATGCATTGTGAAACTGTTATCAAGCCTTTATTCTTGCTAGCAAATTACGGAATTTGCCATGAATTTTTATTGAACTTTCTCCTTCCGCTGAATTAACAAATTAAAATTACGCAATTTATCAGTACAAAATCCCAATTTATGTTTAGATTTTTTCACGTGAAGAGAACTCACTTAAGATTATGTGAATCTCAAGTTTTGCCACTTGGCCAATGAATTCATTTCCTCATGGATTTCCAGTTGGACTGACCCCATCGATGGGCAACAAAATGTCACCATCACCACCTACACCGACGTCAGTTGGTCATCAGAATGGATTGACACCTGTTGGACTATCCTGGCCAAGTTCCCACTCGGTACATGATATTCTAGCAACCGGAATTCCAACTCTACCTACCAATTCATCGTCCTCGTCGCTCTGCCAAGCTACTCATCATCGGGGTATCAGCAGCGACAATCAAGGAAATAGTAACAGTAGTCATAACAATAATAATGATGAGGAGATGACCAATGGATATCATCATCATCCACATCATCATCACTCGCAGTATTATGCATCATCTTTGTATCATCATCATCATCCTAATGGAGGAGTAGTTGGATGCAATGGGTCATCCGGCCTGACCCTCCAACCGGTCATCATTCAAAATGGCCGTAGTCAACCTGGCAGCCCTTGTCATTGATCCTATTTCAATGGAGTGTTTTCATTTTTTACTGGGGACTTTCAAGTTTTTTCTTTCTATATCTTCGTCTTTAGCACAGAATCGAATATCCAACAAGAATCTTCGAAATTAGGGGACGAAAAAATTGCACTGAACAAAATTTAACGATTCTACCATTTTATATTTGTTTTATGTTTTTTTTCTAAATTTGTTTTTATACAGCGCAAAATTATATGCAGGTCCCAAATTCTATCATTATGCAATAGTTATCGCAAAATCTTATCACCGTGCTATAATTTTTCTGATTTTCACCTTTCTAATTCAGTAACTTCGGAAAAAAGTAGAAGAATAATGGCAGGATTATACAAGTCAGTTATTAAATTAGCATTAAATTCAAAAACAGTATATTTTTTGCAAAAAATCTTGGAAAAAACATTACGTGTGAGAGAAAGACAGCAATACATAAAAAAATAGTTTTTAATAATCTTTTTTGAAGTCTTTCCTTCTTGAGATATATATATATTCAAAATCAACAGATTGTCTCCAACTTGAGTTTTTTAAAAAATCGACATGACATTTTTTAGAAAAAAAAACTTCAGGACGGGTTTGACGACCATAAAGACAAACAGAGTTTAATGACTCAAGCCTGACACGTGGACTCATTATGTGGAAAATTAAATTTCATATTCTGGTGATAATACGGTGCTACAAGGCGGAAAATTGAGAGACTATTAATAACTGAGTTCAAAGATGTGTTTTTCATAATGGATTTTGAGAATCACGGCACCCGCTTTTGTACTTTCGTCGAGTTGTTGCAGCTAGATATTCATTTGTGGGGTGTGTTTGCAGGTTCAAATACCGGACACTTGCAGCAGTACTGGTTTCGCTAATCTAGAGAGTATTTTTTATAATTACAAGTTAAGAAATTGATGTTGCGGATCTCAATCGATTTATGTTTCATAGAGTTGAAAGTTTGTAAATCGAAACTCCTAATTGTATTATATGATATAGATGTGAATAAATGGATATATATTGTCATGTTGATGAGATAATTGATGAGAAATTTATTTTATAAATAATCATTATTCTTAATCAATCATAATCATGTTCGATTAATCGCTTGGTAAAAGAGTTGGGAATCATCGGAGGAAAATCTAAGGGGCGAACTAAGTAATTTAATGCGAATATTATCAATAATGTTGATGTTAATGCACGAGTTGTAGATTCATCAATTGAAAAAAATATAATTATCCATATAAATACCTTTAATATATCCAACTAATATTTTGAATATATGTTCAATGTTAATGGTAGGATATATCTACACAGATATATCCATAATATATATTGGATAATGCATTTTTACGGGCTTGTATGCAACATGCATCCGGATGTGAAAGGTATTGCATTCAGGTGCATAGAATTTCATATATTTTCATTAAATATTTACAATTCAACCGCGTAGGCTCAACATAATATTATTGTTTAGTCCATATGGATAAAATCTAATAATGGTAAATTATTAAATTCGGAGGCTACATCCAATTTCAAAAAATTGGTATTAAATTGATTTGTTGTTACCGTTAAAATATATAGCGCTCTGATCTCACGGTTTCACTGCCGAGCGGTAGTCCTGTCAAAAAGGACGACTGTACCAGGGCAGGTTTTTCCCTCAGATGAGGTTTTCCCTCAGATGAGGTTTTCCCTCCCTTTCAGCAAATGCGGTACAGGGGGTTGGGGGGTGGAAAGGGAACAAATCGTAAAAACCCGAAAAGGTATACGAGTGAAAGAAATTTTTTTTTTTTTGATTTGTTGTTTCGAAGAAGAAAATGTCGAAATACATCAATTATGGATTAGAATTTTTTTCCGAGAATATTGGATTTTATGTTTGTGTTGTGGGTGAGAAGCTTTGAAATTCGATCACGAAAACCTTTGCCCCGCCTATAGTCCACACCATTTCGTCAGAGTTCGGTAGTCAAAAAGGCAAACGACTACAAATCTCAAGCGTGTCGACGCATTTACGCAAAGAGCGTGTCAGTTTTCTCAAACACCCCGTTCTTTTCTATTATATAGCTACAATCCTAGAAGCTGTTAGAAAATATGTACCATCATTTACTGTTTTCTGAAATATAGTGGCACTATTTTCTTCTGACAATTTGAGACTTGAATATGCTATTTGAATGAAGTTCAGATGAATCAAGTGCGTACTCTTGTCCTCAAGACGTTTATTCTTGATGTGGCTCGGTTGCTGAATGTTCTTCGGTCGATTAACACTGGTAAGACCGTGATGGAGAAGGCACTAATAAATTAAGAAAACAGTTCCTTTAGTCAACAGCCATCCAGACGACGAAAAATCATTGTTTGACTTGTAAGTAAATCTTCATTATAAAAAAATTGTCCCAACAATAAATTTAGTATACTCCATTTTGGGTATATCTATACATGTCCAATCACATCAGGATATGTAGAAAGTACTTGGTAAATGTTTCTTTTAGCTCCAATAGATTCAAATCATAATTTGTTGATACCACTGAAGAAATTCTCCAACTGATTCAACACACATTCAGCAAGTGTCTTCACTCTTGGGGACTGAGCAAATAGAAACAGAATAATGATAATATCATCCATCTCTTTGGGTTGTCCTTTGTTTATATTTCTATCATCATGAACTGGCTTTCGGCTAGCAGTGTTATGCACTGAGAGCAAAAACTTTAGTCAAGAGATTTTGCACTTCTTCGAAAAATGATGAGCAATGAATTGAAAAAATGGAGTCGATTTTTCGAACCAGGAAGTGATTTATACATTGAGATCTTTTGTATTTGAAAAATGAAAACTTCTGAGTAAATTCACATTATAATCTTTGAAAACTATATAATTTTTTGACGGATATTTTTCTTTCATCAGAGCAAGACCTGATTTTTGAAATCAATATTCGAATCATGAGTTTCTTGTTACAAGTAAATAAGTGCTTCTCGAAAAACTCTTCATCCTTCGAATAAGTACTCAATCCTTCGATTTATTATAGATTATAGTTTTTTCTTGAAAAATTTTAGAGTATCTATTTCTTGATACAAATAATCACACATTTTTCAAAAAAAATTTTCCTCAATACACGCGGGGATGTACGGTGTATAAGGTAAGTTATAACTGAGGAATAAGTGTTCTTTATAATTATCGCTTGCAGATTCGTCATACAGATGCGAAAAAAAATACAACTTGAGGAAGTTTTATCGAACGTCTTCTAAACTTCCTAAAGTGAGCAGAGATTATAATCTCCGATAGCAACTATATAATAAGGATGGCCATGTGGCTAATTTTCAGTTTTTATCCTTACAAACCTCATAATTGCCGAAGCCGAGATTCAACCGCAGTCCTATATGCGCAATACGCATGGTGCGCGAGTCTACAATATGATATAGTTATATTATATTATATTTTATTTTTTAATCCGATTTAAGCTGCAGAAGAGTCATATCGCAAACAAAAATCGCACAAGGAATCTTACGAATATTTAGAAAATGCCGAATCTTTTTTGCTTCCGAATGGAACCCTTGTATTTGTCCGATTTTTCGATTTTTTTTTATTTCAATCGCAAGTTTTATAGAATATTCTGATACACGAAAAAACTGTATTTTTAGATCATCTCCTGTGTGTATGTATTGGAAAATTCGAAATTTTTTATATTAATTTTGGGAAAATTCAACATAAATACGGTAAAAGTTGTAGGTAAAGATGTAAATTTTCAACTCAGGATAGCTATCCTTAACCTCTGCTTTGATACGTCGTTTCAGCTCGATCGGTCTAGTAGTTCCTGAGATATAGTAACTTTTGTAAATTTCGTTTTTCCTGAATATCTCAAAAAGTACTGCAAGGATTTCAATTTTCTTTTCGAAATACTCATCTCAGTGGATCCTATCTATATTGATCGAAATATCTAAATTTGTTTCGATAAAATTTCGTGAGATCGCCCTTTATTTTAGATTTTATCATCATAAACATCGTGAACACGATAAATCAAGAACAAATAGACATAGGGAGTGCAAATTTTGTAGCTTTGTAGCTCTTATAATATTAAAGGTTGGTATTGTGGATGGGCGCGAGCGGCCAAGTGGTTCCAGAGATATTACGCCTTTTGCATGAATGTATTTCCTTGAATATTTCCTAAACCACTCAACGAATCTTTTTCTCCAAAATACTCGTCTCAGTCGACACCATACAAAGCTATGAAAATATGTATACCCGTTCCTACAAAAATAGTGAGATATTGCCATTTTTCCGTTGTTTGCTCCACAATGGAAGCACTGCAATCATTCGATTTTTCAATTCCCTAATTTTGCCTGGAAACTATCTGGATGTGTCTCAAACCTTAAAATATGAAGTTTGAGAACTATGTGTGTGTGTGCGAATGAGCAATTGACGGCCAACTTTCCGAGAATTAAAAAAAAACGGGCAAATTGATTCCAAAAATCGCATCTTTCGTCAAATCGTAGTGCCTAATGTGGACTTAATCTGCCCTAAATTTCAGCCCCATCGTGAAATAGTTTTCGCAATATCCATGATTATTTCTGATAAGTTTTTGCAAATATCTCAAAAACTACCCAATCAATTCCCCTTTTCTTTAAATTTTCATCTCAATATACTCTATATAGATGACTCAGAATATATATAGGTATTTCCACAAAGTTTTCAAGATATTCAAATTTCTACGTTTCTTAAAAAATCGTTGTATGCGCTCTCGGATTTTTAAAAATCAATCTATCAACTTGAAATTCAGCAGAAAGTTTCCTCTTATGGCCACGATGTTTCCTATTAAAAATTAGCAGGATCGTAAAATTCGTTTAGATATTACCATTATTTTTTTTTTTCGAATAAACCGTTGTTCGAATAGCTATATAGATATTGCCATTATTTTTTTTTTTTCGAAGAAACCGTTGTTCGAATAGCTATATAGATTCGGAGGCTTACCACCAATTGTACTGGTAAAAATGAAAAATTAGAAATTATATATTAATTATATAAATTATTAAAAAGAAACTAACGTATAAAATAATGATCAAATGTCTCCTGTCAAATAGGCTCGCCCAACTGCTTGCGTTTTATTATTAGTCCTTGAAAAAAAATCTACAATGTACATTAGTATATTGATTATCGCCAATCGTCAAATTAAGAGATGTATTACTTAATCAAGGTGAAAGCTAAATGACACATTCACAAGTCCGATGGTAAAAGCTTTGGCCTTCATATTTTCAAGTAACAGACTCAGTTTCTTCTGGTCCATATTGATAACAACAGAAATAAATATTGCCCTGATGAGGAACACACATAGTGTTGGAAACGTTGGCAAAATTTAAATTAATTCATTTAATTTTTTGCAAATTTATGACCGTTAATGGCCCTGATGGAAGGATTAATCATTGTTATATAAGAAACGGTTGAATATCATCTTCATTAAGTAACAGACTCAAAACATGAACAATACATTATTCTTGCAGATAATCCGGCGAAGATGAAATACAGAATGTTAGGTAGAGTAGAGTCTTTTGTGTTCCTGCGAGGGGTCAACGATTGACTGATGATGTTTCGGTTATTTTGCAAAAAACTTGATTTTGTTGTGGTTTTTTTATGATTTCTCATAAACACCACTCGCAATCAACTGAGTATTTTCCTCGAAAGGAAGGATTCGATATTCCACGACTCGAAAATTTCATGACTTTGGTTATATTCTCTGCTTACCTTAACTTTTCAGTCATTTTTAATGACCCCCATAAGAACACGTGTTAAATGACTAGTTCCTGAAAAGGTAAAACAAATTAACCGTACCAGTGATCAGTCTCAAATATCAATACAAAAAATGAAAAAAATTGGCAGCATTATTTCAAAGCCCTTCACCACACCTGATCATTGTTAAACCCTCATCTCCGAGACTTGCAACAAGAAATAACTCAAAAAACGTCATAAAAAGTTGTCGGAAAAATGCAAAGCTC